TTTTAATTATTTTTTTTTCTTAGGTTGAAGATGGTACAGAAAAATCAAACTTACGGATGGAAATTGATCAACAAAGTCAAGGGTCTGATTTTAGTGAAAGGGATAATGAAATGGTTGAAGCAAATGATGACTCGCAAAAGGTTGAAATTACACCTTTGCCAATTTCTGGTGCTTGGAAATGGGAAGATGAACAAAAAACTGATGTGCCCAGTAATCATATTGATGATAACCGCAACAATCAATCCAATAATGAAAAATTGGATGAATTGCCAGGTAAAAAAAAAAAGAAAAAATCCAAAACAATTGACGTTGTTGATAAAACAGAAGATTTGTTGAAGCATAAACCTGAAGTCAATGCGGATTTTGAACGATTGCTACTGGGTTCTCCTAATTCTTCATATTTATGGATCAATTACATGGCTCATCAACTCAAACTTTCCGAAATAGATAAGGCACGTGAAATTGGTGAACGTGCTCTCAAAACTATAAATTATAGAGAGGAGCAAGAAAAGATGAATATATGGGTTGCTCTTATGAATTTAGAGAATAATTTTGGAACAGATGAAAGTCTCGGAGGTGTATTGAAACGAGCATTACAGGCTTGTGATCAAAAGAAAATATATATGCTACTCGTGGATATTTATGAGCGTTCAGACAAGAAAGAGGTATTGTAATTGCATATTTCGAATTTAAATCAATTTATTTTAACAATTTTATCATCACATGGTTGATTGTTTAAATTTATAGCTTGCACAACAAACCTATCAAACTATGTTAAAGAAGTTTTCTCAAAGCTCCAAGGTTTGGACAAAAATGGGGTTGTTTCATATAAAGCACGGTAACGTTCAGGCTTCTCGTGATTTACTTCAACGAAGTTTGCGTTCCTTGCCAAAACGAAAACGTAAGAATAGTTCATTACTGTTTTGCAATTAAAATTCATATATAAGTTATGTTGATCGTATTTAATAATCCCTCTTGTTAGATATTAAGGCCATAACCAAATTTGCACAAATGGAATTCAAATATGGAGAAGCTGAAAGGGGTCGTACGATATTCGAAGGAATGATGAGTAATTATCCCAAGAGAGTAGACTTGTGGTCTATATATATTGACATGGAAATAAAAGCTGGTGATTTTGACATAGTTCGGTAAGAAGTTTTAAAAAAATGAATCTATTATTTCAGATAAATAGATTATTCATTTTCATTATATAATAAATTTTAGGCGTCTGTTTAGAAGAATTACTGAAATGAAATTTTCATCAAAACATATGAAACTTTTCTTTAAAAAATGGTTAGCATTTGAAAAGGAACACGGTAATGAAGAACATGTAAACCATGTTAAGGAAATGGCACAAAGTTTTGCAGAATCATTAAATTAAGTATCAATTTAATTCGGATGGACTTTTTACGCATATTTATATCTTTATTTATATCTTATTAGCGCATAAATTATTCCTATTGTAAACTCTTAGGTATTTACTTGATTATATACAATATGTAGAATATTTCTGCCATTAATCAATCTTTGACCTGGCCAAATTAATGAATTCTTATTATTTACGTTTTTTTGATTCTGTTAGTATATACCGTAGTGCACTGACCAAAGTACCCCCCTTTTTCAGTACCCCCCGTGCAAAGTACCCTGGTGCAAAACACG